AATGGATCCTGTCGATTGTGAAGGATTAGAGCGACGTTTCTAGCCGTTGTGCCATCTTCAAAGCGGATCACCATGGCCCGCTTACACCTTTAGCAAGAACTACATACTTTTAGGTGCTGCCGATTGAGAATCAAATGGATGAACCACTGCATTTCATCACTCACAATGGTGTACTGAACACTGCATGCCTACTTGTACTCGTTCTGTATATGACCGTCGGGTAAGTCTTGCTCAATTTCTTGACTTTTATGAACTCGCAAACACATCATGTAAAATATTCAGTTGAGAAAGATTACATGCGGTAATATTTCCCAGGTTTAATCTACGCTCATTCACTGTTTTTCAGATTTTTTGGATATTTGCGGTTTGGCAACGACATTATGGATACTCTCACGTTGAATTTACCACAGACAAAGTAAGTTGATTTGATAACCATGATTTGTACTGTACATGGATTTGGCCTGAATCAGTATGCTATAACTGTGTCTGCATCATCAAGTGGCTATTTTTATCCAATGTATGAAAGCCCAGTTCGGGTTGAGCCACGCATTCGATTTTCATTGAAAATCGTAGTGGCATTTCAACTTTGATTTTAGTCCTCACAACGTATTCCGAGGGTCAGCTCGAGAACGAATCAGTTTTTGTCTGTTTCGCCTTCATGAACAATCCTTGTGTCTATCAAATGGTGGCGGGAGAAGGATGGTTTTGTTGATTTGGGTGTGGTTCCATCTGTGGGTAATCCCAACCGCGAATTCAGCAGCATCGCCACTAAGTGCCTCCCTTGCCTTTGAAATCTAGTGTGCATACTTGAAGACACTAAGCGTGATTGCTGAACGGCGGAGCTGTTTTGATAACATCATTAAGCCATGAAAGCATGGGACTATATCGGACGTTATTGGTTTATTGCCTTGCTCCCTTCCACAATAACATCTTCAGACCTGCCCCGCCTCTCAACAATCGCACCCCATGCCTTTGAGATTGAGTCAAAGTGTTTCATGACATTATCTAATCAATTACTTTTATGGGTTTGGAAAGTGGACAATCAGCTCAGCCCATGGGGAAATGCCTACATATATTGGGCGGGGCTTGCTCTGAGTAGGTGGAGCTAGAGCACTGTTGTTATGGCAAATTTGCTACTCTCTCATAATTTCGGACTGTTAGCTTTTTTGCAATGTCAGATCATTTCAAACGAAAATAAAATTTGATGGCAAAGTAACTCCACCGCTGACGCAGACCTAACGTACAACTAAATGGAAATCGCTATTGCACAGCGGCTAAGAGCCATTTTCTTCTGAATAAAAATGTGGTTTATTAAAAATCTCATTTACAGCTTCTATCAAGTGATTAAGCTGATGTTCGTAGCTTGTATACTAGTTTCATATCCACTTCAATTCTATGTTCCCATGGAACGCATTGAGAAATGGATCAAACGCAAGGTGGGGTCGTTTCATATTTCTTGATTTGTTAACAAGCTCCAGACAACATCGCAGAATACTGAGTGTAGTTGAACAAAACATCAACAAAGGTGGTCAAACGAATGGGAACTACAAGGGCGCAGAAGGGGGCGGGGAGGCAGCTGCAAACATTGGTAGAACTCTGGTTCGCAACTTGGCGAAATACATTTCAGCAGCCCCTCCAGGTGTCGCAAAGTTGTTCTTCCGATCGGGTGATTCGAAATAACTAACGAACAGAATAAATAAAAATAGGTGTTCAACACAACTGTTCTGCTAATGCAGCAATGCCGGTGTGCGGAATTTGCTAGGTGGGCGAGGTTTCACGGGTTGTGGGCGGTTTTGCAAGGTTTAGGATGCTCAGAATGAGGGTATGAATTGCTTGCTATCTTGAAGTTGCGACGAAATTGGAAGATTGTTGAACTTTCTAATGTTCCCATGCTTGTGGAGGGAGTATCTCAAAACGGGCCAGAGTGGGCGGATCATGCCAACGATTATTTAGTGTGCCGTAAAATCCGGTCGGCACACAAAGCGCCATAATGATATGAATTGTCACTGCAATTGTTTTTCGCTATTAGAGAGATTTTTTAGGTTGCCGTTGAACGGCAAGAGAAACTCATCTACGCTGTACGTATGACAGGAGTAATTTGTACTTGTAAGTAGTTTATGCATATATATTTGGGATCTTAAATCGATCTAGACGAAAAAAACGATAAATCGATAGACGGACTATGCTGTTACTTTGTATAAGCTTTTTTATCGAGGCGATTTTTAGGTCTGTATGGATGAACTGCATCCACGTTTGGCACGTTCAGGGCCAATTACGGAATTCCGTAGCCCGGAATTCATTGTATCTGGTTTCCCGCCGATTGATCGAATAATTGTTGTTATCAAAGTAGTTTTTTTCGACTAAAAGAAAGGATAAAGCATTTGCCGTTGATCAATCCCTTTTTGGGATGCGGCACGCATTCTACTTCCATTTGTACATTCGCAGTGGCATTTGAATGCGATGTGGCCTATACAATGACTTGCGGGGGCCAGCCGATGTTACAAGTCAGTGTTTTTTTATCCCAGACAAGTCTGGTACCAATTAACCGACCCCGGAGGGATGGAAGGCTTGGTTGGCCCGGGCGACTCACGACCCAGGATTTGATCCCCCGGACCGCTCGCGTGGTAAGCGCGCCACTTGTCACTACATTCCGCCCTTTTCCGACATAGGTTTGCATAACCAGTTATGCACGCCTCAGTGCTGTTTCGTTCGAGTGTCTGAGACTCATGAAATCCCCTGAAGTGTTTCGGGAACGGCAACTACATAGACCAGTTATTACTATTGGAGCTATAGCCGGCTCTGTTTTCATGTTTCACTTCGGTTATGGGCTACAATACATGAGCATACCAAATTTCGCTTCTGAGCTCTTTTTCTCGTTCAAATCCATTAAAATGCATGATAAAGCCCGCAGCAGAAAATGGTTTATTAGAACGTCAATAATTGCCTGATGATAACCTAAGGGTAAGGTGATAAGCAGGGGTGATACCTCGTCCAGCCCAACCGAGCCTTCTCTGTCTCTCCGGGGTCGACTAGGTAATTGATGGCGTGGTTCGAAAAAACCTTCAGTAGTTTGGTACAACATTCGTCTAGTACCAACTATAAACACTTGTTTGGGTGGGCATCGGCTGGCCCCGATATGTCATGAAGAGCGATTTCTCAGCGCATTGAAATCCCGTGTGACACTGTGCACCCCGGGACCAACGCGGGTTACGGTAGAGCTATTCGAGCGTGCTGAGAAATCGTTTTACTGTAAGTCATTGCTAGGCTATGTCGCATTTGATTGCTACTATTATTCTGAACGGAAGTAGAATACGTGGAGTCTCTAAAACGGTCCAGTCAGCGCTGGACGCTTCATCCTTTATCCTACAGGATCACAGCCTTACTCGTACTCCTTTCAGGGACTCGCTTACGCCATGGATTTGGACCCGCAACATACTGCTCATGATGTTTGCGTTGGTAGGCTTTGCAACCGGGACCTACGCCAGTATGGTGCAAATCATCGAGGCATTCGGGAAACCGGATGTCTAACCAAAAATCTCAGGCACATCTTTGAGACTTCATGTGGGTGCTCCTCGCTCGTGAAGCCGTTGTTGGCGCAGCAAATTCTGACCCGGTAGGGTTGTTCATAGTTACCGTTCCTCTCTGTTAGTTCTGTTATAGAGTCAGTAATGTGACTTCTTTTTGTCCGAATTATCTCTAGTCTATTATTGTTACGTGATTTCGTTGTTAAAAATTGCCTTCAGAATGTTTATAAAGTTCTATGACTATTTCTCAAGACAGAAAGATAGATGCCACACAGAAGATCTACAGATGCCTCACGTACTGGACTTCCACTCAGATTTACAGAGCCGATTAAATTAGAAGGCTTCGCAGAGCTCAATGATGCCTGGCGCAAAACCAGACCTTTTATCGGTCGAGGAAATCCTCGACAGGGGGGTCGTATTTGTCAAGGTGGGTCATGGGGGGTCGTACTCGTGGGGGTCAGTAACGTCAGTGGCATCGTGGTGCAGATAGGAGGGATAGGGTGTAGCGCAGCAGAAAACAAGGATATGAAAAAATGATATAAAATATTCTTTGCAGGTTCAGTCGCTCCGTTCCTCTACCTTCGAGAAGGAAGTATTTGAAAGCAGTACAAAGAATGAAAGTGCATCTTTGCAAGGAACAGGGCCACATGTGCACACGCGCTGCAAAGGCACCTCCTCTATCTACCGCCGCTCCCTCCCCTTAATACCTCGTTGAGAATGACACTGTTGTTAGGGACGCTGTCGCAAAAACGACAACCGTGAAGGAAAGGCCCTGGGCAAATGAAGTTGTTCTTTAGGTTGTGGTAGTTACGAAATTTGTTTGCTACAAGGCAGCTTTTGTCAGGAAGGAGGGTTTTTTTGCAGTTTGGCTTCCGTCTAAGGACACGTGCGAAACGGAAGTCGAACTAATTCTTTGGTCATTCTCTCCCCGCCTCCCCCCCCCCTAAAAAATTCAAATTTCTTTGTTTTTACTCAAATCTAACTATTTTATTTGTCAACTGGTCATGATCATATAACACATTTGAATCGATTCTGCAACTTCGAGTGCATGGCCTATACCCAGACAAAATCGGATGATGACGATTGCCCCTTTTGTTATTGCTTATGTTGGAAGAATGTATTCTAGACACATTTCGAGCGTTGCCAACGAATTACACTTGCAATGGTGAAGAAGGGAGCGGCTTTTTGAGCGGCCGAGAATCATCCTCGATAGATCCTCGACGCAAATATCTCCTCAACTAAAGAATGTAGAAGGAAGCTAAACAGACTGTTAGAAAGCGCCTTCCGCTTTCCAAAACTGTTTTCATTTTTCAAGATCCGCAGAGAGATATTGCCTTTTGAGTGGCAAAAACTCGCATGAAAAATTCGGGATCCTCGACGCTCCCTCGACAAAATTTGTGAGACCCTAAAAGAGAAAGAAAAGAAAAAGACATATATCTTGCTATATGTGTAGGTCTGTACTTACTTCTACTACTCTTTTTTATGACCAAGGTTGTCAGAATATAAAGAAAACTAGGAATGAACACAATTGGGAAATTCGTAGGCTTAGAAAACCTTCGCTAAAAAGGAGCATATTCAACCATTCGATGAACCTCGCCGTGTCTAGTCATATTATGGTGTGGTCTATAGAATAGATGCAAAAAATTAGAAAAGAAGTAGCGCATGCGCGAAAAAAAAAATAATTTGTGTGTGCAGCGCATGCGCTGCACACGGTCCCACACGGTGCTCAAGGTGTGATGCGCATGCGCTGCACAATGTCGTCAACGTGTTAATATTCTCAGATTCACCTTTAAGCTTTCATAACAGCTCTTAGTAATATCAGCAAATGAAAAATACCTAGGAGAATTTGTTCCATGGAAATTTGATTTAAGGCTGGATGAGGGCTTCAGGCAGGCCTCCACAGGTTTCTTGTGGGTAAAAGTGCGGAAATCAATGAGAAGCAGGTCGAGTAAGGCGTCGAGAGAAATCTTGAAATACAACCCCATTTCACCAGAGGCCGAAGTCCATGAAACGACCCTCTTCACAAGCCGAACTATGAAAAGGTTGTTTAATTCTCCCCAAAACTGTTCATAAAAAAGTTCTGCTACCCTCACCATAAAAGTCGTTCAAGAAGTACAAATGTAAAAAAAATCAAAAAATGTAGCCGCCTTAGCCAGCTGGGTGTTGAATGGTCTTTGGCGTTGGACTTGGAGCAGCTTACATATCCACTATTGAAACATGAACACATATTCAAATGATGACGAATTTTCAATCTGAAAGCAGATTTGGAAGTTTTGTGAAGAGCTCTTCCTAATCAGTTTTGAAATTACAAAATCATTGAGAAATAACAAATTTAGATTAATTAACGAGGAAAATTCTGTGGAAATTTCTTTCATAGACCAACTCGACTGGCAGAAAGAAGCTTATTCCTTCACTATTCGGGTGGGTCTTGAGGTTTTTGGAGAGACTTTGGTCGGACCCGCAGATGTGCTCGAAGAGACAATTCGGAAGATGTTCATCAAAGGTCTGGGGTGGTTCCAAAAGGAGGGGACATTGAAGTTTGGCTTGCCAACATGTCAGGTAGACGACTAGGATTATAATGAGGTGCTTGAGTCCCGGCTACAACCTTTTTCGAAAAGTCATGGTTGCAAATCACTTGTTTTGCAGGGGAGGTCCCTGACACCATTCCATTTGGAAAAATGCTAAACGCAACGGCTTTGATTGGCAAGTCGGCTAGCGTATTCCTCAGACTTCATCCTTATTGAAAACGTAGAGGTATCGTGGTTCGCGGTCTCTACGTCATTGAACAAAAGAGTAATATCACAAGTGACCTAACACGTCGGTGAAATTTGCTAGTTGGGAACAGATCTGCAAGACATGTATCCAGACCCCATTCATAGCATGCCAAACAGAATGGCTCAACTTACTAGAAA